TCAATGGTCCTAATTCAATCCAGGTGTATCCAACTACTAGCGAACCATGGGAAAGAGTTGCGCTTGATTTGTTAACCAATTTTAAATGTTCCCTCCAAGGCAACAAACATCTGTGTGTTATGGTAGACCATTTCACCAGATATTGTGAGTTAGTTCCTATTGCAGATAAGACTGCCGAGACAGTAGCTAAAGCGCTTAAAGAACGCATTATCTGCAGTCATACCACCCCTAAGTCCTTAGTAACAGATAATGGAGGTGAATTCTGTAATGAGATACTTGAAAATTTGTGTACCTTGTTCAAGATCTCTAAATCCACCATTGTTCCTCATCATCCTGCCAGCAATGGGTTAGCAGAACGAACCAATAAAAAAGTACTTGATGTCTTGAGAGCCACTATCAACCCCAATAGTGAAACTTGGGATGAAGTTATATCACATGTTCAATGTGCCATAAATTCTGCCATAAATTCTTCCATAGGTAACACTCCACATTATGCATTGTACGGTGTAGACAAGCGTTTACCTTATGAGTTGTTATATTCCACACCGAAACCCAATTATAATCCCGATGATTTCATAGCAACTCGTACCAGCATAGATCAGAGTGTTTTTAGAAGAATCCGTGAAACACTTCCTAAATTAACAGCAAAATTTACTTGAGTAACTAATAGCCGTGCTAAGCCGACCAGAGTTAAAGTGGGTTCGAGAGTAATGCTGGCTAATTTCAACAAAACATCCGCAATGCCTAAGCTCGACCAAAAGTTTGTTGGCTCTTACAGAGTAGTCCCCTCAAGGAAGGTTCCTTGATGCTGGTGAGGGGCTCTTGATCTAGGGAACTGGATCTGTGCTCCAGTTCCCTGAGTTAAACCTGAATACCTTCCATCCCTCCCCCAAGCACTGTATAATCCTATGGGTTTAGTGCTTCCCCCTTGATTATAATAATAATAATAATCTTACAGAGTAGTTGAACATATCAATGTCAATAAGTATAAGGTTAGAGAAATTAGTACTGGTCAGTATAAGGAATCGCATTTAGATCATATGAAATTAGCATGCGATGTTGAGGATGATATTTCTACCAAGACTAATGTGTCAGTCGCTGACAATCCTCCTGACTCTGTACCCTCTACCTCTAATACTCAGTCAGATAATCATCCCGAATGTCGCTATTCTTTGCGTACACGACAAGTAATGAGAAACCCCCAAGTATCTTTTGTGGATACTCGTTCAGATCGCCCTCAGTCAAGGCATGTGTTAGCCATTGCAGAAGAATTCGATCCTCCCAAAGACGATAACCATTCTGCGCATGTAAATCTTGCCCTCGCAGAGTTGGGTTTAAATGTATAATTAGATGTCCAAGATGAATGAAGTTGTCAACTGTGTGTTCTGTTATTAGCTGATCAGTTTTTCAGAAAATTTTTTTGTGTTCACGTTCCCTCCGAATTCTGAGAATTTAGCAGTAATGATCTGTGCATGCCAGATCTGAATTTGCTGTTAATTTACTTTCACCTTTGTAAATATATATTTATTTTTCCTCAGAATCCGTAGAGTGCATGAACACAGATTGATCGATCAATTCCATCCTTTATTAAACCATGATTTGTTCTTATAATTCGTAATGCATTACGTTAAAACACATTACGTTAACACCAATTACGATACCATTCATTAGTTCTAAGTTACATATGTCTTTGTTATTGCATAGAATCAGCCCAGAGCCACCTGCCTGTTCAGCCGATAGCGTAGTATTGTATGTCGAGACGACATACGTAACATGACCGAGCTGTCAGTATAGTTGTTGATCCTCTACTTGTGTTGTATAGCTATCTGAGTATCATAGTTAGTACCATCCATATGTTTTACATACACGACCACTTTGCTAGGCCTAGTTACTAGTTTGTATGACGTCACGTGATCCCGCATGAGTGCTTGGGCTGTGCTGCATTGCTCTCAGTTCCCGTTAGATCTTCCAGGCAACAACAGGCAGTTTGTGCTCTCCCTCTTCATACTCTGCTAATATAAGTGTTACCATCCAACAAGTGTGTTTAACTCCAACCATCATATCTCCTACGAACCCCCACAACAAATCAACCTTGGAGTAGGTGCGAAGTGCACCATAGTCGTGGAGATTCTGAAGCAGAAGCAAGGCGCCTGGTGCTTATATAGTAACGTCAGTTGGAAATGGGACGTGTAAACACGTCCTATTTCTACTTGACGTTAGTATATAAGCGTCAGGCGCCTTGCTTCTGCTTCAGAATCTCCACGACTACGGTGCTCTTCGCACCTACTCCAAGGTTGAGGGACTGATTACCTCATCTTCTGTACATAGTTCTACTGTCTTCCAGTAATGTCCTGGATTTTGTATTGATAAAGCCACTGGATGGCGAAACTTCTACAATAAAGTTACGCAGATGTTGCATATGTGTCTTAATTTCATCTTGTCGGTATTGTAATCCAGTCTTGTACAACTTGTCAGATACTGCAACATCATAGAATCTTGATTCTGAGAGACATGTACATAACCTTCACGATTACGACAACTATTACTACAACTAACCCATCTCTTTGGGTAGGACCTACTTCCACTGGGGAATCCCGCCTACCAGTGACTATGCCCTCGTCTGCTACACGTCCCATTTCCACCTGACGTTAGTATTAAAAGCGTCATGCGCTTTGCTTCTGCTTCAGAATCTCCACGACTACGGTGTTCTTTGCACCTACTCCAAGGTTGAGGGACTGATTACCTCATCTTCTGTACACAGTTCTACTGTCTTCTAGTTATGTCCTGGAATTTGTATTGATAAAGCCACTGGATGGCGAAACGTCTACAATAAAGATACCCAGATGTTGCACATGTGTCTTAATTTCATCTTGTCGGCCCTGTATACCAGTCTTGTACAACTACATAAATCCATTCTGTAATACGGTGACCAGAACTGAGCAGCATAGTCTAAATGAGGCCTCACGAAGGATATATAGAGTTGAAGAACAACCTGAGGACTTCCATTATTTATACCTCTAGATATGAAGCCAAGAATTCTGTTAGCTTTATTGCGAACACTAATGCACTGTTGTCTTGGTTTTAGATTACTGCTAACCAGAACTCCTAAATCCTTTTCTCAATCAGTAGTATTAAGATCTACATTATAGGGACATGCCTGCTGAATGTCACATTCAGGGTTTTAAATTGTTTCAAGTAAACAGAAATATCGGAAAAGGGGGGAGGGGGGAACTCTATGTCCGAGATCACTTGAATTGTTGCATAAAAACAGGTATAAACCACACATCGGGTGGGGTTAGAACCCGTGATGAGGAGAGAGTCTCAAAGCTCTAAACCGTTGCTAACGCTACGATAGTTTTGAGATTTGTGATCGCGAGTTCTAACCCCGCCAGTGGTATGGTTTGTTTGCAATGGTGTCATTACAATTTCGTGAGTCATGTAAACAGGTATAAAGTCTGAAATAACAGGTACTGAGTCTGTTTGGGGAGAATTTTTAGAGGGCAAGATAAACTGATTTTAGGTGCTGTGTACCATCCACAGAAGACTATTGTGGGAGGAAATTATTAGAGCCACAAAACACAACAACGTAGTAATTCTAGGGGACTTAAACTTTAGTCATATTGATTGGAATTCCTAGACTGGAAATTTAGTCTAACGTCTTCTTAGAGGTAGTTCAGTATTGTTTTTTAAAGCAGTTTGTTACAGAACCTACAAGGGGAAATAACCTGCTTGACTTGGCTCTGGCAAACAAGGAAACCATTGTTAATAATTTAGAATTTTCAGAGGAACTTGGCGTAAGAGACAACAATATTAAATGGAAGTATGACAGTAGGGATTTCTTAGTAACGGTCCCAGATTTTCGCTTAGCAAATTACAATGCTCTTAGAGAACACCTATCATTTGTGGACTGGGGTAACGAAGAGAGCTATCAATATGAGAACTTTCTAAACACTATACAAGCTGTTCAAAGAACATTTATTCTTTATAAAGAAATTAGATTGAATATATATAACCGAAATGGATGAATAATAGACTCACATATCTTTTAAAGCAGAAGAAAGGAATTTATAGGCGCATCATGAGAGGTAAGAGTTATCTTATGAATCAATACACTAACATTAAGAGGGACGTTAAAAGGGGGATAAGAAAAGTTGAATAGAACTACGAAATTAATAAAGCTGCTAGAGATTTGAAAAGTAACCCAAAAGGTTCTTACCAAGTTTATAGAACAAAAGTTAGAGAAAAGATAGGTCACCTTAAAAATGATTCTGGGTATCTTACTGACAAGGAGAATGAAATGTACTCGATTTTTAATAATTATTTCCTCTCAGTTTTCACAAAGGACGACATTAACAATATTCCAATAATTAATTTTTATATTGGGCCTGAAGAAGACAAGATATTTAATATCACAGTCACTAGTGATATGGTTATGAAAAGATAAACCGATTAAAGCAAAATAAAAATCTCTGGGCTCTGTTAAACTTTTTTCAAGGGTTCTTAAGGAGTTCAAAATGGAACTTTGTGAACAATTAACTAATATTTTTAATTTATCTCATCAAACAGCTGTAGTATCTGATATGCGGAAGATGGATAATGTAATTCCTATTAATACTTTAGGGGACAAGTTGTTACCATCAAATTACCGCCCAGTAATCCTGACCTCAATTGTAGGCAAGTTACCAGAGTCAATTACAGCTGATATTATAAGAAATCATGTTGATAAACATAATTTGATTAACGATACTCAGCATGGATTCACGAAGGGCCGATCCTGCCTACCCAGTTTATTTACTTTCTTCAGTAAAGCTTTTGAGGTTCTTGATCACGAATTTGTTATTGTTTATTTGGAATATAACGCCGCATCACAGATTGTTAAAGAAAGTGGCAGCTCATGGCACTGGGAAAAAGTGCTATCATAGATCGAGTCATGGCTCGTCAACAGGAAGCAGAGAGTGTGCATAAATGGGGTAAAATCTGAGTGGGGATCTGTGACTGACCGTTCTTTGAGCTCATGAAGATGAGTTTGTCGCAGCGTGAACCCCAAGTTGCCTTAACATGGACGGCCTTTTTCTGGTGTGTCTCCGGACGAGTCATCACCCAACACAACACCCGCACCTTCTGTGTCTCATCTTCACCCTCTATCACATCTTCTGTAACATATAGGCACAAATTTATTAGTTAAGGTCCTGTCTTGGCGTTACCGTCAGTGCTAAATATCGGCCTCAGAACTATGGCAGTCTGATATGTCCTTCGTGGAGAACAAGACTGCACGACACCTCATACAAAATAACATGTGGCAGAATATCCATATGGTTGTGTTCTTACAAGTAGGCAAGAATTATTTTGTTTTCAAAATACTTTAATTTAAAAACTAATACTTTCTGAATCTTATTAATATGTGTAACTCATAATTAAAAAAGTGAGATAAATGGTTAAAAAAGATAGGAGGAGTGAAGCAGCCTGGCTGTGAGAGTGACATATATGACTAGTTATTAGAGGCTAATAATCAAGTCTTCACTACTTCTTGAACTGAATAACTCTCATGTGTGTCTTTATATTAAAGAAGCAAACCCTAATGAGCCATTAAAAAAACATTTTACTCTCTGCATTAAGTAGAAAACATGATCTCAATATAAGTTATCTTAATCTACTATGAAACGTTATCATGTACTAATATAAACTATTTATATAATAAAATACATTATATATATATATATATATATATATATATATATATATATAATATATATATATATATATATATATATATATATATATAAGGAATTCGCGAGAGCATGCGAAATATTCACAAACACTGATCTCTGGCTGAAGGAGACTCGAACCTACGAACCTTAGGACAAGGTACGCAGTGCTTTACCAATCTACCCACACTGGACCAATACCTTGGCGTGTAGCATGCGCTACACGTTTGATCCAAGGCAGCCAGCTTTCAGGGAGAAGGCTTACAGCTTTTCAAACGTGTAGCGCATGCTACACGCCAAGGTATTGGTCCAGTGTGGGTAGATTGGTAAAGCACTGCGTACCTTGTCCTAAGGCTCGTAGGTTCGAGTCTCCTTCAGCCAGAGATCAGTGTTTGTGTATATTTCGCATGCTCTCGCGAATTCCTTGCATTGTTCAAATCTCTAGCAAGGCTGATGCATGCAGGGGATGAGATGAAAAGCTGTAAGCCTTCTCCCTGAAAGCTGGCTGCCTTGGATCAAACGTGTAGCGCATGCTACACGCCAAGGTATTGGTCCAGTGTGGGTAGATTGGTAAAGCACTGCGTACCTTGTCCTAAGGTTCGTAGGTTCGAGTCTCCTTCAGCCAGAGATCAGTGTTTATATATATATATTATTTTATTATCACACTGCCCGATTCCCACCAAGGCAGGGTGGCCCGAAAAAGAAAAACTTTCACCATCATTCACTCCATCACTGTCTTGCCAGAAGGGTGCTTTACACTACAATTTTTAAACTGCAACATTAACACCCCTCCTTCAGAGTGCAGGCACTGTACTTCCCATCTCCAGGACTCAAGTCCGGCCTGCCGGACTTGAGTCCCTGAACCCCTTCATAAATGTTACTTTGCTCACACTCCAACAGCACGTCAAGTATTAAAAACCATTCGTCTCCATTCACTCCTATCAAACACGCTCACGCACGCCTGCTGGAAGTCCAAGCCCCTCGCACACAAAACCTCCTTTACCCCCTCCCTCCAACCTTTCCTAGGCCGACCCCTACCCCGCCTTCCTTCCACTACAGACTGATACACTCTTGAAGTCCTTCTGTTTCGCTCCATTCTCTCTACATGTCCGAACCACCTCAACAACCCTTCCTCAGCCCTCTGGACAACAGTTTTGGTAATCCCGCACCTCCTCCTAACTTCCAAACTACGAATTCTCTGCATTATATTCACACCACACATTGCCCTCAGACATGACATCTCCACTGCCTCCACCATTCTCCTCGCTGCAACATTCATCACCCATGCTTCACACCCATATAAGAGTGTTGGTAAAACTATACTCTCATACATTCCCTCTTTGCCTCCAAGGACAAAGTTCTTTGTCTCCACAGACTCCTAAGTGCACCACTCACCCTTTTCCCCTCATCAATTCTATGATTCACCTCATCCTTCATAGACCCATCCGCTGACACGTCCACTCCCAAATATCTGAATACATTCACCTCCTCCATACTCTCTCCCTCCAATCTGATATCCAATCTTTCATCACCTAATATTTTTGTTATCCTCATAACCTTACTCTTTCCTGTATTCACTTTTAATTTTCTTCTCTTGCACACCCTACCAAATTCATCCACCAATCTCTGCAACTTCTCTTCAGAATCTCCCAAGAGCACAGTGTCATCAGCAAAGAGCAACTGTGACAAATCCCACTTTATGTGTGATTCTTTATCTTTTAACTCCACGCCTTTTGTCAAGACCCTCGCATTTACTTCTCTTACAACCCCATCTATAAATATATTAAACAACCACGGTGACATCACACATCCTTGTCTAAGGCCTACTTTTACTGGGAAATAATTTCCCTCTTTCCAATGTACTCTAACTTGAGCCTCACTATCCTCGTAAAAACTCTTTACTGCTTTCAGTAACCTACCTCCTACACCATACACCTGCAACATCTGCCACATTGCCCCCCTATCCACCCTGTCATACGCCTTTTCCAAATCCATAAATGCCACAGAGACCTCTTTAGCCTTATCTAAATACTGTTCACTTATATGTTTCACGGTAAACACCTGGTCCACACATCCCCTACCTTTCCTAAAGCCTCCTTGTTCATCTGCTATCCTATTCTCCGTCTTACTTTTAATTCTTTCAATAATAACTCTACCATACACTTTACCAGGTATACTCAACAGACTTATCCCCAATAATTTTTGCACTCTCTTTTGTCCCCTTTGCCTTTATACAAAGGAACTATACATGCTCTCTGCCAATCCCTAGGTACCTTACCCTCTTCCATACATTTATTAAATAATTGCACCAACCACTCCAAAACTATATCCCCACCTGCTTTTAACATTTCTATCTTTATCCCATCAATCCTGGCTGCCTTACCCCTTTTCATTTTACCTACTGCCTCACGAACTTTCCCCACACTCACAACTGGCTCTTCCTCACTCCTACAAGATGTTATTCCTCCTTGCCCTATACACGAAATCACAGCTTCCCTATCTTCATCAACATTTAACAATTCCTCAAAATATTCCCTCCATCTTCCCAATACCTCTAACTCTCCATTTATTAACTCTCCTCTCCGATTTTTAACTGACAAATCCATTTGTTCTCTAGGCTTCCTTAACTTGTTAGTCTCACTCCAAAACTTTTTCTTATTTTCAACAAAATTTGTTGATAACATCTCACCCACTCTCTCATTTGCTCTCTTTTTACATTGCTTCACCACTCTCTTAACCTCTCTCTTTTTCTCCATATACTATTCCCTCCTTGCATCACTTCTACTTTGTAAAAACTTCTCATATGCTAACTTTTTCTCCCTTACTACTCTCTTTACATCATCATTCCACCAATCGCTCCTCTTCCCTCCCGCACCCACTTTCCTGTAACCACAAACTTCTGCTGAACACTCTAACACTACATTTTTAAACCTACCCCATATATATATATATATATATATATATATATATATATATATATATATATATATATATAATATATATATATATATATATATATATATATATATATATATATATATATATATATATATACTATATATATATATATATATATACTAATATATATTGTGCCGAATAGCAGAACTTGCGATCTTGGCTTAAATAGCAACGCTCATCTTGCCATATAGGACAAGTGAAAATTTGTGTATGCAGTAATTTCGCCAAAATCATTCTGAACCTAACGAAAAAAATATATTTCACTGTGTTTGTTTAGTATTAAATTATTGTAAACAAATCTAAAATATATTTAGTTGGGTTAGGCTAAAATAAATTGTTCTCGTTATAATAAGGTTAGGTAAGTTTTCTAAGATTCTTTTGGAGCAAAATTAAAAATTTTTACATTAACATTAATGAAAAAAATATATCTTTAAACGTACAAGATACAATTTTAGAAAGGACTTAATTTTAAATGAGTTCTTGCTAATTGACTAGTTTTACATATTCGGAACGATTAAATATATATATATATATATATATATATATATATATATTATATATATATATATATATATATATAATATATATATATATATTATATATATATATATATAATATATATATATATTATATATTATATATATATTGGTAAGCCTAAAGAAACAAAGGATGTTATCTTAACCTGAAAATTTTTTTTGATACTAACTTATATGACGATGGGAAAACTTCTCTTAAATATTTAATAAAATGGTATTTAGCCATTTTCTTAAAAAATTACAAATGTACAAACAAAAAAGGCTAGTTCAGTATTATATGTAGCAAAACCATGGAATACTGAAAGAAAAGTAATGGGTAAATAAAGAAACCATCCTGACCAACGAAAATAGCGAAAAATAAAATGCGGAACGATTGTGGCTTGAACCCATTGCGGGTTGAATCCAATGTGCCAGGTGGCTACAATAAGATTTATCCAGCTGTGGCTCATATTAACCTCCCAATGGTGTATAAACATACCTAGTTGGATGAATATTATTGTAGCCATCTGGCCCAGTAGCTTATGCACTGATATGCACTGAGTTCTGTGGAAATTATTTTGGGCTACTAAAATATTCCACGAAACATTTTATAGTTTGAGCTTTACGAGCTTTTAATATACCCACTTACTTAACTCTCGTATATATTATTAACATTGATCCTTCTAGGAAGAGTTACGTAGATACACAAAGCAGTAAAATAACGTAGGAATTGTTAATACAGTTTTAGGACCTAAAATAAGTAGGATTAGGTTTACTATAGTAGAATTAGTTAGAGAGATGGCAGTTCAAAATTAGAATAAAGTCAGTTAAGAAACACTAGCAAGATCAGTTGCTACTCAATCACGACTCATAGTGGACGCGACGAGTGTACAGCCAGAAAAATCAGCGTTAATACACTTGGCTGGGGAACAAGATATCCTTAAGCAGTTTCCTAAAGTATGGTATACTCGTCCC